TGATCTATAACAATAAAATGTTCAGTAATTTTATCCTATGTGGCTTACCTTATCTAGTTTTTTATGAAAATATACACCGAAAATACAGGTCCCAATAATTTGGCCAAGAACACAAATAGTAAACATCCATAAAGTGATTTTCATGATTGAGAGCGGAGACCCTTGTTGTGTCGGATACATTGTAGGGCTTTGGCTGAAGGTGTTGATCATGCTATGCTTGGGAGTTATGTCCTCTTCTTGCAGTCTGAAACAATGTTTATTAAAAGAAGTGATGATGCTTTAAGACTGCAGGTAGTAGCTACTTCAAGTCCTACACACTTCCTGGAATATTTGTTCTGCAGTGTGACGCGTGTTAAGGTTATATCACCTTAGAGTATTTCAATTAGATTCCACACATTGTCAAAGAACATTTTCCATATGTATTTTTCAAATAAACCACCATGTGGCCTTTCCTCTAGGGAATTCCCAGTTTTGTTCATAGCTACAGATTTGTTGCTTAGCAGTTGTTAAATTTTAAGTAACATCAGATTTTGCACATTAATTTAATGAAGGGTGTAGGGTGCCAAATAACACATCACTGTATTGTAAAGGGACTCTAAATTCAATGATTGCTCACAGTATCATGTAACAAGTCCTCAGTAGACGTGTAACCCCTCATAAAATGTGTTTCATTTCGGATCGCTTCCGATTTTTATTTCTGTAGTTTTTTGGATTTTGGTTCTGAAATTTTATTCGGTTCGTTATTTAGATGTCAGATCCGTCTGAAGTTCCATTTCGGAAAAATCTAAATTTTCGTATCGGAACAAAGTCACATGACCTAGCCTGTAATGCAACCCCCTAACAGCCAAGACAATCTGATTGGCCAGAGAACAGTCTAATGTCTGATTTAATTTCTATTTTAACAAAATTTGTATGGCTCCGTATTTTGTTAAATGAATTTAAAGAAATTTGTACGAATGTCCATTGGGAACGAAACTAAATGTATATGTCCAGCCCTCAGCCTTTGATCATCTCCTGTATTAAGTCCACAGCCTCTAATAGTCTTTTGTATCATGTCCCCAGCCGCTAAACTTTTTCCGAAACAAGTCCAACATCTCTGATAGTCTTCTGTAGCTTAACATATACGGAAAATACTGAAAATACTGAAAATAATGGGGGGAATTTATCAAAACTGGAGCAGACAGAATTTTCAGCAGTTGCTCATGGCAACCAATTAGCTCTCTTCATTTTGTTTAATTAAGCTTTACAAATGAAAGATAGAAGCTGATTTGTTCCCATGCACAACAATTCTGTCTGCTCCAATTTTGATAAATTCCCCCCAATGTGGGCCCCTTTGGTAATGTCAAAGGCTGCATTTAAAATGTATTTCCACTTTCGCAGCCAAATTGGGATAACACCTATTTTATATTTTTTACATGTTCCCATTCACATGACATACGCTCAAAAAATATTTAAAACATGCTTCTTGCAGTTTTAATTGCTTTTACTTGGGTTTGGGTTTCTGGGCTTCTAAAGAGTTAACATTTTTACTTGCATCTGCTTCTTTTGTAATGTTAATAAGGGTTGTGAGGGGTGAAGGGCTTCTCCACTATGTTCATGACCTTAAAAGAGAACTATGGGGTAAGTGTTTTTCCTCATAGTTCTCTTAATGGTAAGGGGAGGTCATATACTAGCGTCCTCCCGTGACCCAAAGCTCAGTATACCGCAAGCTACAGCTCACGGTATACTGAGACCGCCACACCCGGGACGGATCCCGACAATGCTGTCGAGATCCACCCAGTTGCGTGAATGAAAGCTGGGTCTGCCTAGCTAGACGGGGGAGTGGCCAGCTGTACCCACCCCCTCCCCGTCCGTTCCTCCAGTCAGTGCTGGAGGATCGGAGCGGGGAGGGGGGGAATCCCTGCGGGGAGCGGTGACAGACGGTCACCGCTCTCTGCAGGGAGATGATTGGGAAGTGAGCAATCGACGGTATGCGTTCGCTCACTTCCCGATCTATTGAGCCAACGTGTGACCGTTTCATTGTCACACATAGGCTCGAGCTATAAGCATGAGTGATTTTTTACTCACCTCATAGTTGTCCTTTAATGAGAGAAACACAATCCTCAAATTTCAGTCCTAAAAAAAGGACAGATCACTGTGAAGGTACTGAGAGAACAAACTGGAATCAGCCATGTTGCCTGCTGCAACAAAGTATCTAAAAGGTAATAAATATTTGTTTTAAATTATTTTGAGGTATGTTGTGTGAATAGAAACACATAACAAACATATAGAGACATTTTCTCAAAATTAAATTGCAAAAGTGGAAATACACTTTAAGGTTACATTACCCAGTAAGATGACCACCATTGTTCTAACATGTCAAACTTTTTTTTTTTGCTCTAAGCCTATTGAGCTTGGCATGAATTATCCCACCCTTTTCCGGTCTTATGCGCAACAGAACATAATGTATAGCATGGACAAAGTGCCTGAAGCAATCCGTAACAAATAATTACGTAAAAACCACTCCTTCTAGGCAGTGGCGTAACCAGAGTTCTGGGCGCACGGGGCAGAAATTTTTTTTCGCCCCCCCCCCATTATATAAACAACCACTGGAACTGTACCCTGCACCTCCCCTCCACACACACATGTTTTTATTTTAATTTTTCAAATTTTAATATTTTATTTTTTTGAAACTTTTTCATTTTTTTAAATCAATTTTTATTTATTAATTAATTTTTTATTAAATATTTTTATTTTTTACTTTACTTTTAGGGGCTTCG